TGGTCACGCTTGAAGCTCAGACTCGTGGGGGGAGTGGGGGCAAGTGGGGGCAAGGTTGCATTATATGCAACCTTAAAATTTGTACCCCCATAATATGCTAAAATAATAATAAAAGAAGATTAGTGCACTTGCACTTGCCTCAAAGACCACGGGTAATTTATGCCATAGAACTCCTCCTAGGATCAAGTTGAAATTCATTTCCAGGTGACACCATGCCCTTGCGTGGCTCTTTTCCCCTTTGTTTTCCTGATTTCTTCCCTCCCCTATGAGAGCACTTCTCACATAAATTACATACACCAGAATCCTTGTTTCGGGTTCTGCTTCTATTGAATAAAGCCTAAGACACATACCTCACCATGCCTTAGTTTTTGCAACTCCAAATTTGAAGAAATAATAGGTTTATTTTTAATATGAATACATAATAAAAGCTAAAGGAGTGTAATAAAATATCACCATGTTCCATTATCTATGTCTTCATTTTGTTTTTCTTCTAGACTACATAATTTCTTAACTTCTTTTTTTCATATACTTTATTTTCCATTGTAGTTTTTATTAATCACTTTTATTTGGATAATGATGATGCATCCAATATTTCAAAAATATGATTGCTTCCCAAGAGATTTAGACATACACTAGCATTGGGACTTTAACACTGTCATTTTACAACATTATTTTCTGAGTTCCCATCATAGATATATAGCACATTTTTATGTACCTTTGTTTGTAAGAATCCCAAACTGGCAATAATATTTTTGCTTATCAGCAGGTTAATAGAGAATACACACATACATACACACATGCAGAGGAATATTACTCAACAATGAAAATCAATAAACCAGTAATAAATACAACCTGGTCGAATCTCAGAACAATTGTGTTGAGTGAGAGAAGCAAGACAACAAAAGAGTACAAAATGTATACTGTATGATTTCATTTATACGTAATTCTAAGATATTCAAACTAAAATGTAGAGACAGATAGGAGATAATTTAATATCTCAGGATGGGATGGGAGAAAAATGCTTGGAAGAAGGTTCATAATGAGGCGAGAGGAAAGGTTTAGGGCCATTGTATATGTTCATCATCTTGACTATGATAATTATTTTAGAAGTATCTATATATGTCAAAATTTATCAAATTGCAGACTTCTTATGTGCACTTAATTACATCCCATAATGCTATTAAAAAATCAGAAAAGTGGTCTCCACAAGGGGAGAGGGAGTGGTTTATACCAGGGAAGGGATCCATGGAAGCTTCTGGGATGTGGGAATGTTCTCTTCCTTTACTTGGGTGTAAGTTACACAGATTTTCTTTTTATTATGCAATTCGCTAAGCTAAATATGACCCTATTTTATGTTTTATACAATATGTATTTCTTCATTATATTTCACAATTTTAGAAGTTTATATATCTATACACATATATTTAGAAATCATAACTTTTTAAAAGAGGTAATTATCCCTAAGACTCATGAATCTTATTATTCTTTCTTTAATAACAGCTACTTTGGGTCTTAGTGGTAGTATATGTACTTTCTTGCTTGACTTTATAAATTATGTGTAGCTTAAGTTTCTCTTGGAATTTGAAATCAGTTTTTACTTCATTCACAGTCACATTCCTATGCTAACTGTTTTTGAAAGATAAAAGAGAAAAGCACAATTAAATCTCATTTCTATGAGCCTCATTGGTGGTCTGTGCATCATGGAAATGTCATCTGTTCTGGTAGTGCTGCTAGGTTTATAGCAACTCGTGGGTGGGTGGATGCACTGGGAACAGTGCATTATTTTGTTTTGTTTTTATAGCTTTATCACACTCTGTGGCTGTAGGTGCAATGCCTCTCTCTCATTCCCTGGGGCACAATATTATATTTACTGTATGCATTTATCTTGACTCTGATGGTCCATTTTTTTTCCTATTCATGGCAAATATCATTTTTGCCTTCTGTATTATATATAGGAGTCCTTCTATTCAATTGCTAAAAATGTTTTATCATGGTATGAAATATATATGAAAAATCTGAAATGAGGTGGGGGGGGGATGTTGTATCTGTCAAGGGATTAAGAAAGTGTCCTGAGAAGCCAAGAGAATTATTGTAATTTGTATCCCATAGAAAGGAGTAGTGCAGAATTTACAAGGAAAATTAAAAACAGTACTATTTAGATAATAGACATCAATATACAATAGAAAATAAATATATTATCTTTTGTGTGTGTGTGTGTATGTGCAAGTGAGTGGAATCCAGAAGTCCTACTTGTAGGTAGATATTTCCTTTGTATAAAGGAAATAAAATCACTATCTCAAAGAGTTATCTGTACTTCTCTGTTCATTACATTATTATGCACAAAAGTCAGGATATGAAATCAACCTAAGTGTCCATTCATGGATGAATGGATACAGAAAATGTGCTATGTATGTATATAGGTGTGTGTGTGTGTATGTGTGTGTGTGCATGCGTGTCTACACACTGGAATATTATTCAGCCTTTTAACCAAAGGAAATCTGTCATTTTTAACAACATTGATGAATCTGGAGGACATTACAATAAGTGAAATAGTCCAGACACAGATAGACAAATACTACATGAGTTCATTTATACTTAGAATCTTAAAAAGTTGAATTTATGAAAACAGAGAAGAACAGTGGTTTCCAGGGACTTGGGGGTGGGAGGAAATGGGAAGATATCAGTCAAAGAGTAAAAGTTTTATTTATGCAGCATGGATAAGATCTGGGGATCTAATGTACAGCATAGTGACTAGAGTTAATAGTACTGTATTATATACTTGGAAATCACTAAGAGTGAAGATATTAAAAATTCTCACCACGAAAAATAAGTATGTGAGATGATGGATAGGTTACTCAGCTTAATTCAATCATTTCACAACATATACATATAACAAAACATCACATCCTACCCCATAAACATATGCAATTTTTATTTGTCAATTATACCTTAATAAAGCTGAAAACAATTTTAAAAGGAAGGGAAAAATTTCTTATATTTTATAAAAATGTAATATCCATAGGAGAAATAAGAACCATACCCTAATGTTATGTAGGAAAAATAAAATAGATAAAAGAAAGAATCTCTTTGAAGCGGTGACAGGGGACTACCTTCTCAGTGATGAACCTGATCTGTGGAACTAAAGAGTATTTATTGTTTTTCCTCTGAATAATCCCTGAGTCTTATGGATAAATTATTATTTCCATTTTAAAGCAGGGAAGTTTAGCCAAAGAGTCTTTAATGCTAAGTCCAAGGAAATGGAGAGAATCAGGATCAAAGTGGGGGTGTGGATTTTTTTTCCTGCATATTGTGGATGTACAATAAGAGAGTTAGTTATAATGGAATGTGATGTAATGTGGCCCTAATGAGAGAGAACATTAATTTGTACATGAGGGTCCCACAAGGAACAGGTCCCTTCAGACTGAGAACTCATGTGAACATTTTAAATGGTAACATTTCCCATTTGCCACATCCCTAAATCCATAAACTCTGAAAGACAAAGGCAAATAAATTTCATTCTGTAGTGACCCAACTTTTCTCTTCTGTTACATTTATTCTATGCATGTTTTTCACTTAAGCAATTGTCCTTTCATTTCTCTTTTTCTGAAGCACATTTGAAAGACAGTTCAATAGAATGTTTGCTTCAGGTTTTCAAATTACACCTCACTTAAAGTACATATGTTAAGGCTGACTAACTAACTAACATAGTTAACACTAACTAATCGATCAATTGTTGTGGCCAAATAAATTAAAATACTATCTTAAAACTAGTTAATTTCTACCGAAGACCCACTTATATTATTTCAAACCCTTGAAACATTGCAGCAGAGTCAGTCTTTATATTCCAGTTTCATGGGTAGGTTTGTCTGACTCCATTGCACACCCCTTTTCTATTATATTATTCCTATTGCTTTTCACTCTGAAAGCAATATAAGGAAGCTATGTTAAGGTTGAATGAGTAGGTCACTTGATCTGAGCCTCCCTGTACATTAAAGAGTGTGTGGAAGAAGTAAGCAAGATTAATAACCCAACCAAATAATGGTACCTCTAGAGCCAGCTTCTCAGAAGCAGAAACATCCTAGGTGGGACCAAAGGAATGGCTTCAACTTTCTCAGAGTTATTTTGTTAGTGTTATTCTTTTAAAATTAGTATCTCAATATCTCAACTTTTTTTTTTTTTTGACAGAGTCTTGCTTTGTTTTGTTACCAAGGCTAGCATGCAGTGGCATCATCATAGCTCACTGCAACCTCAAACTCCTGGGCTCAAGCCATCCTCCCACCGTGGCCTCCCAAAGTGGTATGAGCCACTGTACCCAGCCTGGTGTGTCAATGTTTTAAGTACAGTAATTCTAATCATAATGGTGCTGATATTAAAATTTTGCATCTCTATTCAAATTCAGGCAATTAAAACTTCAGAAATTGGCATTAATGCCAAGAAATTTTGTCAAGGTTTGATGGAACACATGTTTAAAAGTCTTCCTCAATTAAGTTACAATAGAACCAACGGGAATGCAGTGATAAACACACTGAAACATAAAATAAAAGGTAAAACTCAAAAGATTTGCATGATGTCATTTATGCCAAATAAAGTGCCACAAATTTGAATGGCTTTACTTTCAACTTATTTCTAAAAAGGCATGTTTGGTTGCAAGGCTGACATGGTTTTATATTTATGATGACTTTATAGGTACAACCTAAGAAAATGATGGATGTTAGGGCAGTCAGGCCTATGAAATTGTTTATCTACAGAAGATTGTGTCTCGGTCCTGGTCTAGGCATTGTTTTAATGTTGGCATTTTTAAAATAATCTTATGTTTTTTTTAAGTCATATTTTATCCTCTGCCAGATAGCAGGGCTGCTGTTGTTTTATTCAGTTCTCTTTTTATAACTTCAGAAAAGTTTGAAAATAAAAAGGATAATTAATTTCTGATGTCTTACAAATGACTGACATAGTACAAGAAAAAAAGAAAGCACATTTTTTTTTTTTCAAAGTTTATAGACCTGAGATGGGATTTCAGAATCAAACGTGCCTGTGGATTTGCTTTTCAATGATGGGCTTTGCTCTCAGATTGTCCTTTTTCCATTCACAGTTCCAGGATTTCTTTCCAAAAATATCCTGTGAGGTCCAAATGGTAGCCAGCATTCTGTCTTTGGTTGATGAGTCTGTACCTTTTTTAATCCAACACTTCTCTTGCAAAAGAAATATAGAACATATATTGCAATTAGCAGTAATGGGGGTATCTTACATTTTGTGGGGAAAATTGGAACCTTGCCTGTTACTCCTTTTCATCCCTTGGCTGAAAGAAAAACAATCTAAACCCGTGGAAAAAAAGGGCTTGGGAACCAGAACTTGTAACTGGGCTATAGAGCCAGACTGCTTCAACAGCTTTTATTCCTGTGTGTCGTTTTGTTTTTATAGCATTTAAGTATATTTGTAAATAATAAATCCAGGCCTTTCAAAAGTACAGCTCTCCTGCAGAACAAATGTCCCTATTGCCAAAACGTAACTTTTCTTTTTATTGAGTGAGACACGGTTCACACCTGCTCATCAGCAGTCACTTGTGTAATGTTAGGTTCAAATGTACTCTAAGCCTAGTGTTCCTTTTCATCTGCAGAATGCCTGCATGTCCCTACTTCCATTATGTCTGTGTTGTTTTCCTGTTCCTCTTCCTCTGTCTTTTCTAAGAATTAGTTGTTTTAGTTATCGTTGCTTACTATTTGGAAATGGAAAATGGCAATATAGCTGAGTAGTAATTCATTTCTTGGCTGTGAAGACTGAAAGGGTTAACTCAACCACACACTCTTTGTAGGCTCCTCAGAGTGTTGCTTTCTTACTTTCAGGGAGATTCCTTGTCCCCAATGGAACAGACAGGAAAAGTACACTAAGCTTGAAATTATTGAATGTCTAATGTGAATGTAATACTGTGTGGAGAACTGAAGGTGGTACCAAATGTTTTATCACATTTGTTCTTACCCTGAAGAATCTTACAGTCTTATGAATTCACCCAAGAGTTGGGTGGAAGGAGGAATTATTAATAATTTGAAAGAGGCTGGGCGCAGTGGCTCACACCTGTAATCCTAGCACTCCGGGAGGCTGAGGTGGGAGGACTGCTTGAGCTCAGGAGTTTGAGACCAGCCTGAGCAAGAGTGAGACCCCATCTCTACTAAAAACATGAAAATCAGCCAGGCGTCATGGAATGCACCTGTAGTCCCAGCTACTTGGGAGGCTGAGGCAGAAGAATCACTTGAGCCCAGGAGTTGGAGGTTGCTGTGAGCTGGGCTGATCCCACGGTACTCTAGTCAAGCAATGGATTGAGACTCTGTCTAAACAAACAAACAAACAAATACTTTGAAAAAGGAAATACTAATAATAAAAAGGAGGAGGAGGACAAAAATAAATTTGCATTCTAATCCTAAAGTACTATTTAGAGAAGAATATCCCTGAGGTCTGGGATAATCAAGGAAGTCTTTGTTCACTAGTAGAAATTCCAAAAGGACATCAAAGAGTGGATAGGATTTGCAGAGGTGAAAAGGAATAGAGATGTTATTGGTTCAATAGTTCATTCATTCACTTTTCTTCTATGTATTCAATCTGCAAACATTTGAGTGCCTACTATGTGCAGATGAGAAAACAAAGTTCCCATCCTAGGGGAACAACAACAAAACTTATTGAGAATGCAAAGAAGGAATTATAACAAAATTGATATATGCTAGAATCAAGGAAGTACAGATGTTTCTGAAAGCAACAGTGAAAGTGGATAAACAGAGAAGTCCTTGAAAAGGAGTTACTATTGCCCATTTGAAGTGAGAGGGACAATGCAACTGAAACTATGTTTATTTTAAATATAAATTAAAAAACCAAAGCAAGATTGCAGAATTTATGTAAAGTCAGAGATAATGAGAAAATCTTAGTTTTATTTGGGGGGAGGGGTAATGTTTAAGTGTCTAAAATTTTATTAACATTAAGTTTAAAAAGCTTTACAATTGTAATACAGGAAGATATAGGAGTGCTGCTTCTTACAAGCACTTTAAAGTTTGGGCTTGGTTTAGAAGTTGTGGAGCTTTGATTTTTTTTTTTTTCCATGTTAAATGATTTAAGAAATCACGATATTGATCCAAGGCTGAAAGATGCCTCCCTAAAGTTAGAATCATATATTAACATTAGAGGATGCTTTACAGAAAATGCATTCCAATCTGTTCTTACTAGGGGAAGAGCCATAAGCCACAGCTCTCAATCATAGAGGTTCAGTGCATCAAGTACTGCTCAGAGTACACTTACATTTATCAGTTGATTTAATCCTTCTGACAGTAAGTATTATTATTACTGCCATCATCCCCTTTTTGTGAATAAGGAAAAAAACTTGGGCAGGGAGTAGTTAAGCAGTTTTATTTAAGACTCACAGCTACTAATTTTGGGAGCCAAACCTTGAATGTGGGGATCCTAGGGTTAGTGCTTGAGTTCTAAGTTTTTGTGCTACTATTGCTCAGACTTGAATACAGAAAAGAGAGGAGGAGGAGGAAGAGGCAAAAGGACAAAGATCTCATTTTGAGGCAGAGATAGAAAAAAAAGAGATGATATTTAAAAGTTTAGCTGTGCATTAAGAACACACTGCCTTCCCTTTTTTGCATATTCTCAAGAGACTTGAGATTAAGATTTGAATTGCTTACAAATTTAATTTTTATTAGACTATAGTTTTGCTGAAAGACAAAAATGCTGAGTCTAAAATGCAAGTGGGAAATTCGACTTTTATGATTTACATATCCTGTAATTGTCTGCTTATGAAATGATGTCTATAATAATTTTCCAAAGATACAGAGCCTCCAGGGAGTGACAAGTACTAAAGCATCAGTGTTTTCAAGAAGTTAAAACTGTGTTTTACATTCAGTAAATACATATAGAAGCTTTTATTCAACTCATTAATTAACAAGGAAACTGTCATAGTAAGATGTTAAAACTGGTTCAAATGAGAATGTGATTTATAGAAATGTATATTCTCTAACAGACAAAATTCATTTGCCTTGCAATGAGCAGGAAACAATCGCACTGTTCCCAGTTTCCCACAACTTAACTTCTACTTCTTCAAAGTGGTCAATAGCTTAGTAACAGCAAATCAATCCCATGTGCACACCCTTGTAGAATCAGAGAATCCTTGAGGGGGCCCCCAAACAATTTCCAGAACTCCGCTGAAAGAGCACCCAGTAGTTTCCTGCGCCCACCTGTTCCAAAGACCTGGATAATTTTTCCTGACATGATAAAATTCTTAGCAATTAGATTAAATTATAGGAAAAAAAAATGCTGGGAAGAAACTAAACCAAGGCAATGACCTTAGCTACGCAACAGTAAACATATTATTGGGAAAGAAATAAATATGACAAAAAGCCTTTACTTAACATGTTGATTTTAAACCATTGTGTTCTATAGTATGAAGTTGTTGGTGTTGATTTTAGACCTAAGACTCTCCCCCTTCCACCATGTAGCATCTGGTTCTGATTTATCTTTAATTCCCCTTTCTAGATCTACCCAGACGAGATGTTATCAAGATATGAAGGTTTCCACCACTCAGGTCCAGGTAAAGATGTTAGAATGGTCGTGAAATGCTTCTGTTGAGGTTTGAATGAAAGAGGAAGAAGATCTAGAGCTTTCAAGGAATTCTGCTGCCTAAATCCACATGAAAATCACAATAGGAGGAAAATCTGAGTGACTAAGATAATTTCCTAATCTCATAGCCATTTTAACATGTGCGAACCCTTGATTTACTGGATTTACTGGGCATGACTTCAATAATACATTTGAATATTCCACTGTAAATCCTGTGAAAATGTTCAGAATAATTTCGGAGGAAAGTTTTCTATTTTTCTGCTGGTGTTTCTAAAACAAAATGAAAGACTTTCCCCCACATTTTCACTTCAACCAGATAAGGCTTAAGGCTGGAAGAGCAATTACGTTTATACTTTGCCATGTTTGGCTGAGAGTTTAATCTTGAAGTAGAATTGATATTGATACTACTTATGTGCTGCCATGGGGTAATTATGTATTCACTCTCTGGAAGCCAAATGGAATCTGAGAATGGCACATATATCATGTTTTTTTGTTTTTTTTTTCCCAAAGCTTGATTCTGTTCCCCCCCTTTCACACAAATCCTATACATAAGCACATCTAGAAAATTTATAACAACATTTAGCATATAATGCAAAGCTTATCCTTACTTTCAACCGCTTGGGTGGTTATAAATAAAGTTGACTTTTTTCCTCACTACACTAGAAAATACCTTTCAAAAAGGACTTCATCCTATTTGAAAGGGTGATGAAGAGCTTATTTTGTTTGGAATTGGCAGTTTTTTTTCCAGTGGGGCTGAATGTTCTTTAAGTTATCTTTCCATCCCAAGGAGATTATCAAATTTGCCCAACATTGGCTAATTAAAATTAAAAAAATAAAATAAAATCAGCAAATTAAGGTATATCACCTAAAGTCATAGGATCATCACCAAGAAATTTCTAAAAAAAGAAAAATAATCTAAAACTGTGGTTGCTCTTGTAGAAAAGGAGACTGGAGCCATGGTGGGGGAGGAAATGAGAAAGGAAGGACACACTGCATTTCATACATTTTTAACTGTTCACTTTGCTTTTATACAATATTAATAAAATTAGTATGATAACTACATAAAAATTAAGGTGACCTGCATTTCTAAAGAACATTTTGCAGATTTACATGACCTATCATGAGAAGGGTTTCATATTTAAGAAAGAATTGTAAGGTGCAAAAATAATATGTACATTTTAAATAACCCCAATACAGAAAAACAAAAAAATCAATCAATCTCTCTCTCTCTCTCTCTCTCTATCCATCCATCCATCCATCTATCTCTGTATGCATGTGTGTGAGAGAAAAATATCTAGAAGGATACACCTCAGACTCACACAATATTTTGTGTGTATGTGTGTGTGTGTGTGTGTGTGTGTGTGTGTGTGTGAATATCAGGATTTGGCAGAGACAGAGGAGAAATTGAAGGACCTATTTAATAGTCTATGCCGTGTGAATATTTCCATAATGATGATTAATGCTTACAAACTGCCTGCTGTGTTCCAGGCACGCTTCTTGGCACTTTGCATGTGTTTAATGCATTTACTAATGACTCATTCAATAATGAGTTAAATATACAATGAGTACAATGAAAAAGTATTACATATAT